AACGCCGGCACAGACCCGCATCCTAGTGACACACGGCCTTCACCTCCTGCCCCGCGTAGACTACATCGTGGTGATGCACGAGGGCCGGGTGTCTGAGGCGGGCAGCTACGAGGAGCTCCTGAGTCACAATGGCGCCTTCTCCCGCTTCCTGGTGCAGCACCTGGCCCAGGGCAACGCTGACGTCACCACCACCACCGAGGATGACGTCTCGGAGGATGACGCTGAAGGTTGGTCACGTGTTGGAACAAAGTTTTTGATTTTGTTTTTGTTTTTGTTTTTGTTTTTGTTTTCTATGGGTTTTTTTCTTTCTTTTTTTTCTTTTTGTTTTGTTTTTGTTTTTCGTTTTGTTTTGTTAAGATTGGTTCGCTTTGGGTTCTTTTGCCTTGCTTTGCTTTATTTGTTATTGTCTTGTCGCGTTTTGACCTAAATTGTGTCAACGTGGGCGAAAAAAAACACATACATTAAAAGATAACACTAAACAGATAACACTAAACAGCCTGTTTCGTTTCCTCTTGTGCCACTCGTTCCTTGCGATTAACAGAAACTGAACATAGTTGTTGGTTCGATCTTTGCTGTGACAGCCGGTGATTCGCGCCGTGCGAATTTGATGAAAAGAAAGTAAGTTCTTCAACGCTATGCTGCTTTGTGTACCTCAATGATTTAAGGTATATGTGAGGCAGCGTGGTGGAATCAGGCTCTCGTCAATTTTTGGACATGTAAAGTTATAGTATCATCTTAAAGCTTATTCACTTGTCTTTATTTGGATGAAAAAAAATATCCATTTATCTTGAATACAAGTCGAGATATTTGCGAATGAAGAAGGTGGGGGTCATCTGTTTTTAGAGGTAAAATTAGTGAGAAAATGGCCGCCAAAGATTAGTTATTTCCTCAGCTTAAAAGTCCTTGGCAACTGAAAATTTACATTTATTGTACCTTTAATCAACGTTTTTCAGAGAAAAAAATCCACACAGAAATGAGTTCTTTAATGGGCATGAAAGGTGTTGAACCAAAAACCAAAAGTTTGATAAAAATTCACAAACCTGCAGAAAAATGCAAGTTTCATCATTTTGACTATTTTGACGAGAGCCTGATGCCTCCACGCTGCCTCACATATTCATTATGCTCTAATTTTACGACTGGTTGAGAAAAATAAGATAAAACTTTATTATCTGCTGTAAAATTCACACGGCATTCAAATGGCTCTGTCCTGTCACATATGGAAGAATTGTGAATAGCGCAAGAATCGCTAACGTGGGATAGTCAGGTCGAAAAGGCACCGCTGTGCTGGTGACAGGTGTTGAAGATGATTATTTTACGGTAATGTATGAAGTGTAGTGATCAAGTGTGATTATCATAATTTATGGCTCAATGAACGACAGTTTATCGCACATAACATCGAGGGTTGCTTTAATCGAAAACGCACGTTACGAAACAAAGCTCTATGAGGAATGCGATTTTGAGGAAACAAAAATTCAGCGAAGCTTCGAAGCGTGAGTTCTCTATTCATGCTATTCAAATTCCTCTGTCGAAGCTTTTTTATTCTTGTATACGACAGGCCCAGGCCTACCTTCCGCTATACAACATTAACTAACTATTCTCAGCGCCGTCGAATGGCTTTTTAATTATAATAATAATAGATAGCATTTGTATAGCGTAAATCCCCGCTAAACAGCAAGCTCTTTGCGCTTCACAATCTGCACTATTACCCCAGCAGACCTGAGAGCATTCTGAAACAACCTCAACTTCCTGAGAAGAATACAGTGTAAGCGGACATTTATAGGCGCTAAAACACTAACATACTGACAAGACATTTTTTTTTCTTATATATACTATAACCCCCTCCCGAACTTCCGCTATCCACATCGCCGTCGAATGCTTTTTTTCTGATCGTAGAGAAGCTTATTATTGTGATAGCTAACTTCATGAGGAAAAAAACATTCGCTGCGCTTCAAGAGTCAACTGTCCTTGCTTGGGCTATGGTGTTACGAGTGAAAGTAAGGGACATAACCTTCTCTAGAGGTGTCGAGAGTCTAGAGGAATATTTTGTATCTCTTGTTGGCTCCTCTAATCACTCTGTCTCGTAACCATCAAATAAAAAGTATTTCTCTATATTTATCTAAGTGATTTTAGATATAATTTTTTTCCAATTGTAATACGTTTGAGAAAAATGAGATGAAAATCCATTATCTGTAAAAAAAATTAACAAAAATTAACAAAAATAAATCACGTGGCATTCGAATTGCTCTGCCACGCTTCGAATAGCTGTGAATAGTGCAAAAATCATGAATGTCGACTAGCAAAGTCGAATGGGCACAGCTCTAGTATGTGCCGTTGACTATTTCTCAAAAGACTCTCTATAGAGCATCACTGCTACTGTAGAAAACCTGCGCTTATCATTACATGGGTCAATAATGATAACGACAACAACAGCAACAACAACAACAACAACAATAACAATAACAACAACAGCAACAGCAGCAACAGCAGCAGCAGGAGCAGCAACAAGAACAACAACAACAACAGGAGCAGCAGCAACACAAGTAGGAGCAACAACAACAATAGCAGCAGCAGCAGCAGCAG